TCTTGCTAGAACACATTTGAGCACTTTCAACTCTGGTCAGCTGTTGGTTTTATTCTTGTGTCTGGTTTTATAAGATAGTGTGCGTCTGTTCTTATTTAGATGGAGTCAAATTTATTTAAGCTCAAGATTCTGTTTTTGAAAATCTCATCCTGAACTTCTCAGAAAACCCAAAGGTCACATTTACAGAGTAGATGCACAGCAGGATTAAATAAATGTGAAACTGCTTGAGCTGCAGATTTTCTTTTTTATTGTATCAGAGATGCCGTTAATCTTCAGATGATTATTTTTGCAATATAAACTATCTATCCTGGATTATGAAAACTAATTCCCTACCTGCCACACTCATAAACAGTTTTGTAAGACCCAATTTTAGGCTATTTCTAGCTTCCTCATTTCATCATTGGAGATATTTTAAATTTATAAATATCCTCCAGTGCCTCTTAAGACCCTCATGGAAGCAAGTATTCCTCTAGGACACAAAGCAACAAGTGTAGCAGGTTTTACATAATGAGGGCAAGATGAGAGCAGTGGTATTTACCATGCTGTCTTGTTTTAACTCATGGGTGAGAAATGTTATGAAAAATTAATGATGTGATATATGGGAGAAGATGGCCAAAACACGACCACCACCATCACCACCAAGAATAAACAGGACACACACACAAAAAAACCTACAAAAAACCCCTGCTCTATCAATTACACTTTGTGATATGCTATAACTAAGTTGATGGCTATTGAGTCGTTCTCAGCCCTTACATTTCATATAGCAGTCTTTCTGCAGGCTGAGTTCTATCACTGGACATTTATTTTAGCATTAATACTTCTTTTTAATGGATTTTCTGTAGTTCATAAAACATTTCATATAAGTATTTCACTTGCTTCTTACCATCATCTAGTGAGATAAATAGATTAGGAAGTATTGCCCACACTTTATAGATCAGTAAAAAAGATCATAGACCATACTATATCTCTAAGCAGTTCCAAGTCCAGAATTACAGGTACGATATACTTTACACCATATCAGACTGCTAGTTAAAACACATGTGCACACACATATATGTATACACACCCAGACTTCAAAATATTGGAAAGGAAATTTCTGAAGGAATTTTTCTCCTCATGAAAATTACAATTATATTTCTAGTATTCTCTTCTCTATGAGATGAATTAAAATATACAGGTACTATTCAAGTTAACAAGGAGAATTGTGATTTTAAAAAAAACGAGAGATTTTTAAATCAGAGAAACATTTTATGTTAAACGAATACAAACTATAAAAATTCAATTTGCTGGGAAGTGGAATAAGGGGGTTATACTACTTTACAAAAAGACTTTGAATAGGGTAGCTTTAAATAGTAAAATTTCCCAGCACATTTAAAATATGGTGATTTTTGAAAATCTGATTCATATGAAACTTTACAGGGATACATCTGTTATATAAATCCATGCATGTTCACCTGTAATTTACTCTAGAGAGAACAACTGAGTGATAATAATAATAACATGCTCACATAGTTCTTCATTATATATTTTAAAGTGCTTTCCTCTAATTTATTGCATTTGTCTTCTATAGCAGGCAGAAAGGATATTATCCTTTCTTTACAGATGAGAAATTGAGAGGTTAAGTAACTTGCCCAAGGTCAGGCAGACGTTCATTCATCTACTGCTCTGAGTGATGGAGTTTTAACGGGGTAGTCAAGGCAGGAAGGTTCCTCCTCCTCCCTTTTAACCAGCTGTGAAGGCTATTAAAAGAGGTGGATGATCTCACAAACATAATGTTGAATGAAAGAAGCCAGACACAACTGTGTACATACTGTATGATGCAATTAATATA